AAGCTCATGTAGAAAATGATGCTTCTTGCAAATCCTTAATCTCTGGAAAACAACACTGACACAAGCTGCAATGCAGGGAAACCCACGGGTGCTGGGCAGCTCTTGGGTCCGACCCACCTCATAGGTGACATGGCTCCATCCACGAGCAGGACAAGGGGACACCAAGGACAGGCAGCAGCACTGCCCCAGCACCACAGCACCATCATCCCATCCCACTGTCCACCGTGCAGGCCACGCTGTCCTAAGGGGAGGCCGCAACAAGGCTAAGCATCCCTACTCTCCCCTCCTTCTGTAATTAGGTCAATAGAAGAAGCAGGAGCCCTTCATTTATTATGGATGGGGAGAATCAAGCCACCATCGATCAGCGCTGGGGAGATTCACCCCGGCACTTTCTGAAATAACCTGCCAAATGAGATTTTTTTGTTGTTGTAATTTTTACCCATCGAGGGTGTTTGGATGAACTCGCAGCCTCGCCTGCTCCCGGGAGGGATGAGAGCAGAACACAAGTGAGCTCCAGCAGCGAGCCTCTGCCAGCTTTCAGCACTGGGTCCTTCGCATTCTGCATCCCTGTTAAATCCCACTGTCTCGGCTGCCAGGTTTGCTGTCACCCGGGAGCAGGTGGAGAAGGATGTTGAGGCTTTTGGGGGATGGAAAAATCCTGCAGAGTGAGGACAACATATGCACATGGCCAGCTAGCATCATCCCTGCCTGGGTCTCATCCACAGGACTCAAAACCCACAGGTTGGATTAAAGAGACCTTGAAGAAGATGGTGTCCTCCCCCGAAACAATCCATTGTCTGGACAGCCCCGAAAGCAGAATTACACCTGGGGACAAAGGGGACAATTAAGCTCCTCCTGGGCTGCTTTATCCCATTCCAAAGCACAGTGCATCGTCCCAGGGACAGTGCTGAGCAGCTCAGCCCTGAGCCAGAGCTCACAGGTCAGGGATGGCTCATCAGCCTGGGTCACCTAAGCAGTATTTTCCCTGGGCTGCCACAGCTTAAACCTGATTTTCTTTCTCACCACTTCCTTCCCTGCAGGCCCAGGCTGCATTTTGCCCTCAAATCTGCCCAAAGAAATGTCCCAGAAGGCTCCCAGGAGACATCCCTGAGGACGCTGGCACCATCTCAGGACCTTTAAAGATTTTCTGGACCTGGGGACAACTCATCCTGTTGCCCAACAAGGAGCTGGGGTGGTTAATGGCTTCATTCCCCCAGCCCAGTGTCTGGGTGCTAAAGAATATTAATGGTACATCCTGGCACCTTGTTAAAAATTGCACCAGCACTTAATTCAGGCTGTAGATCAAAATGGATGACAATGTCCCTTCGGGATTTTGCTCTTTGTTCTGCTGCTCACGTTATTAAAATAAAGAGAAGGGATGAGGGCAGTCATCTCACCATCACTGGAGTGGTTTTCTCCCCATGTGAGTGATGGATGAGGGTGGCATGGTGAGAGGTGCTGTGGTGGCAACAGGGCACCGAGGGACAGACAGGGCTGGGCTGAAAGGGGGGCATAAATGTTTTGCTCTGGAAATTTCAGTATTTAAACAAATTACAGTCAAAGCTGCATCTCAGAGACCACACTGAGCCTAGAAAGTACTGTCCAAAACAACACCTGAATTTATTTGTCAAGGCACAAAAACCCCCTTCAGATTCTGGATTTTAAATAACAATGAAAACCAGCAGAAGAGCCACCAAGGGGCACACCAGGGACTTCTCCACCCACTGGAGTGGGACAGGGACATCCCAGCAACATGGGTGCCCCCAGGCACCCTGCAGGTCCCCAACAGCAGAGGGAAGACCCCCACGACACATATGGGGACAAAGACCTCCCCAACCCCACGGGAAACACAAAGGCTCGACCCCACACACTGGCCAGGTTCACCCCCACCAGTGCTTTAGCCCCCAAAGCATCAGCTTTCTCGCCATGGGAAGGACAGGGTGAGGTTTCACCTGGCCAGCAGGTCCTCCCCACAAGCCCTGTTTCAACCCCTCCTCATAAAATCCCCTGGGCAGTTCAAGACAGGGGATAAGAGCCCCAAATCAATTTTGCATTTAAGGCAAAAATAAAAGTCCAGCGGGAACTACAGTGGTGCAACGTGAAAAAATAATTGTCCCCATACATCCCTGGAGTGGTGCATCCATCAGGGCCGAGAGCACCAGCACTGTCCCCAAGCCTGGGGTCCCATCCATCTTCCCAGAGCCACCAGGGCTCCATCAGCTGCTCCCAGGGATCTTGCTGAGCCCATCACCCCTCTCGAGGCCTCTGGGCTTAGAAAGGGCACCAAAATTTGCCCTGGAAGGCACCTGGAAGGTGGTTGGCTTAGCTGCAGCCATGCAGGAGTGGGCACAGAGGCTGCCAAGGGGAAGTGTCAATCGCAGTTATCCTTGGCCCCACGTGGGGATGAACGAGGAGGAGCCCCCTCCCCGCACACACCATCCCTGGGAAGGATGCCCCCACCAGTCTTCGGGGCTTGCCGGGGATAAAGAGATGCAGCCTCTCTCCAGCCCCAGGGTGCCCTGAAGACATGGCCGGGGTGGGAGGAGGGTGACAGGGCCCAGGATAAGGGGCAGCAGCAGGTCCATGCCTTCCCCAGGGGATCCAGAGCTTGTCCCCACTGGGGACATCTCAGCTGGTCCAGGGCACAGGGTGCTGCTTGGGGGTGCCCCAGCTCCCATCAATCAATTTCTTGTTCGGTATCTGGGAAGGGAAAATAGAAGAAATAAAAATTGGCAAAGACATTAAAAAAGAAGAATAATTCACAGGTCTAAACTAATTTGGTTGCCAGCAGCTCCCAGCTCTCTCTGCCCTGGAAAACTGGGATCACCCAACAATCCTTCCCACACCCAGGGCTGATGCCAGCCCCAAGCAAATACAACCAGGTACATGTAGGTGTGTTTTTATCCCTCCATCCATCCTGCTGGCTAGAACCGCCCCCCAGCCAGCAAACCCTGGTCGATGTTATTATTCAAGCTGTGTTTCTGCTGAAAAAAGCGGTTGAGGAGCAAGCGGGGGATGTCTCACACATGGGTTAAGCAAACAGGCTGCATCAGGGATGAAAAGCCAAGGGGCTGAGAAGCAGAGTGCAGTCTGTGGCAGCTTGTAAAGGGGAGATAAGGGTAAGGAGGAGGGGGAAAAAAAAAAAAGGAAAAGCAGAATGGGTTGATGCTTCACTAATGTGTGAAGGGAGAAAAGGCTGTTAAAAACCTATCGGGGTGGGGGAAGATGGCATTAGAGAAAAAAACAGGGCTGCTAATAAAAGAGGAAGGGAGGGTTAAATTAGCAATGATTCACCAGCAGCAGAGGCCAAGTCTCTGCCATTAATAAAGGAAATAAATTAAAAGATTGAGATATTGGGAGGAGGCTGAGTTGGGGAGGAGTGGGGCTGACCAGGCATGGAAAGTGCTAGAGTCCATCACCGGCCTGGGATGAGTGATGGGCTGTTGGCAGCATTGAGCTGGGAGGTTGAGAGAAAACACTGAAAGGCAGAAACAGGAGCTGGGACCCTAATTCTCATGAATTTCCATCAGAAATTTGGAACTGGGCTGCTGGTGGGGAATTCTGCATGGGCAGGGATGAAGTTCATGCCTCCCTGTCTGCAAGGCAAGGACGGACCCCAGCAATTCCCCTCCTCTTTGCAAACTGATGGCAACGCTCAAAAAAAGACCCCAATCCCTTGCAATGACCCGGGTTGGTGACACGAGGATTTTCTCAGTCCCGAGCTGCCAGAAAGAAGGGTAAGAGAAGAAACACCATGTCGGAGCCGTCAGCCATATCACTCCATCACTGCTGGGAGATACAAGCAGTGTGCAGAGCAAGCACAGCCCAAATTAAAGTGGAAACGGGTGCTGGGAAATAACTGATCCAGAAAAATTTGATTGAAAACTGGAGAAAAAAAAATAAACATTGGGGTAAAAAAAGGAAAAAAAGATCAAAACCCAATGATGGCTGAAGGAGGTGCAATAGATGCTTTACATTTCGATCTGAGCATCATCTCCAGTGTGCTTAGGAAGAAACCTTCACCACGAGCCAGCTCGCAGTCCTACGCCGTTGCCTGGCAAACGCACTCACCGTCTTTGCTCTCCACACTCTTCAGAGGCTGCAGAGCTGCGAAAAGCAGAACAGCACATGGTCAGTCCACCCCCGGTGCGGGATGGGGGTTTACCAGGGAATGCATCCCCAGAGGAAACAGCCAAGAGCCCCATTTTGGGGAACCCACCCCAACTTCTATCACAAACCAACCCCCAGTCCCTAAACATCCCCGGCAGCGAAGGAGACAGCATCCCAAGCAGGTTTGCTCCTGCACCAGCACATAAAGGCAAACACCAGGCATACAATTAACTCATTTGATGACAACAGAGACCCACAAGTGCTTTTTTTATTAAAAGACTGGGAGACTTATAGAATCACAGAATGGTTAGGGTTGGAAAGGACCTTAAAGATCATCTAGTTCCAACCCCCCTGCCATGGGCAGGGACACCTTCCACTAGACCAGGTTGCTCAAAGCCACATCCAGCCTGGCCTTGAAGACAAGGGATCTGCCAGCTTGAGGGGATGCCAGCTTATCAGGGATCTGCCAGCCTGAGGGGGTGCATCAAAGAGCAGGTGAGCACAGAGGGGCTGAGGATGCAAAGCAGCCCGGGGTGTTTGCTTAGGGGACAGTGTCACAAGCACACGCTATAATGCACATCACGTATGTAATAAGCAAGCATTATGCACCCACCTGTTTTGGGTTCTTCCCCTTCCTCGTCCTGCTCCTCTGTCCCTGCAAAAGAGCAAGACAGAGTGTGTGAAGCATCTGCTGGGCTCCATGTCAGCGTCCACCCTGAACCCCACCTCTCTGGGCAGCCGGGTTTGGTGGACACCCCTTGGGTCACCACTGTCTCCAGCTGCTCAGAGCCACCCACAATCCCAGGGACTGATCAGGACCAGGCACTGCCAAGCTGCTGGTGACACTCGGGGAGGAGATGACTGGTACCCACCTGCACCCAGCACACCCAGGCGGGGATTTTTCCCACCTCAGGGCAGTGCTGGGGTGGCACATCCCCCTCCAAGTAAAGCAGAAAAAGCCACAGCTCCGGGCAACACAGCGTAGCTGCTCACCTCCCCATCATTTATAGCACAGCCACTATCTGGAGTGGTACTCAGCAAGGGGCTTAGCGGGGAGACCACGGATATCCCAATGTCTCCAGGATACCCCATTTGCACCAAGGGATGAGCACCCCTTTCTCCCTCCTGCAGCACTCACCAGGCTGACACCCTGTCTTGAAGCCCAGGACCTTTGCATCCCACAGGTAAGACCTGCCATGATGCTGTTCTTGGCCAGAAAGACAAGCAAAAACTACTGCTCCTGCTCCCCTGGGCTGTCAGGCTCACAGGCATAGTCCCTGCCTGGTTTCTGGCTGACCAAGAGCCACAGCAACAGGTTATTGCTATGGGCGTGCAGCCGTGAGTGCAAAACATCATGGGCTGGGAACTGTGTCTTGATGCTAAAGGACTGAGGTCAGCTGGCTCAGGGCCACGGCTGAGTGTCACAGCACTGCAAATCCCTTCGCCAAGGAGAAAATACTCTATTACAGAGTCTCAGTGCCACCATCCCCCCCCAGGAGAAAGAAAAGGAGTGAAGTGGGAGCCCCTTGCTGCAGGTCCCAACCCCACAGCACGATACTGGCAGGGAAAGGCTTTGGCAGAGCGAATGTCTCAGGAGGCAGCAAGAGAAAACAAACAGGGAACACCAGAAAAGCTGCTTCTGCAGTCATTTTTGGAGCACAGCAGCTTGTTTCAAGGAACAAAATCGCTTTTTGTGCAAACACCTCTCAATAATTTAAAAAATAATTTATTTTTTTTTAAAAAAGAGAAGGATGCAGAAAACAAGCATGGAACATCTCTCTCATGCCACTTCCATGCGTCAAAGCGCTTGGCATTTCCACGGTGGCAAGTGCTAGCGGCACCTTCTTGGAGGAGACACTCCACACGTGTCCAGGTGTGGGTACCAGACATGCAGAGGATGCTCGAAGCAGGCAGGTGGAAGGGAGTGATACACTGCGTGGGAGGAAAACCAAGTCACACGGAGTGATGCACACAGCCAGCATGGGCTCTCCAGCACCAATCAGTGGGTGCCTGCCAACGCCAGCAGCTCCAAGCATCATTTCCCCATGCCAGTCAAAATTTGATCCAGCTCCTCCCATCCATCGCTCCCTGCAAACCCTACCCCTTTTGGAGCGGGTACCCGCCACATTACCTGCGTTTTCCTCCTCTTCCTCACAGCTCTGGCGGATTTTCTTATGGCACACGTACGCCAGAACGGCGAGCAGCCCCACGACACAGACAGCGAGTCCCACCGTCACCCAGAGAGCCACAGCAGGGAAGGCGAGGTGTTGGCCTTGCCAGGGAAAGAAAGAGAAATGGTCACCATGGTGAGCATCAGTGCCCGACCAGGGGGACATGTGGCCAGCACCCAGGATCCTGCGGTGGCTGAACGCGCTTCGTGAACTCCTCCAGCATGTATTTCTGAAGCAGGATTGTTGCAGCTGGGATGGAGAACCCCACATCAAGAGCATTCCATGGCCACGTGCTACAGAGAAGACAAGTAACATGCCCTGTGATGGCTTTCTGGTGTGGTTTGAGCTTGGATGGGGCAACTAGCAAAGCCAGAGACTAAGAACTAGGTATGCTAGTTCCAGCTGGGATGCTGGCGTAGGGTGACAGAGGAGGAAGGAGGACAGCACAGCCTCCAGTTACCCTTGTAGGTCCATTGGGAGAGAGGTAGAGCAGCAATATGGAATAGCAGCCCTCAGGGTGGCTCTGGGCCACAGTAGGAATCCCAGTGCCACCACAGTTACCTTCTTCAGACAGAGCCTATCCCTTCCTTCCCCCAGTTCTGGCCCGCACTAGCTCACCTGTGATGGTAACAGAAGCTTGGGTTTCCTGCTGCAGCACCGGGTTTCGCACCAGGCAGGAGTAGGTGCTGCTGGGCTCCACCAGCACCTGGAGGACACTGTGCACGTCAAAGAGACCTTCCTCGTTGGCCACCTGGGACGTGGTGATGTTTTCTGTGATGTTGCTGCCCCGGCTGTCCTGCCAGAGGACGCTGGCCTCGGGGTAGCCGTGGGAAGCGTGGCAAGTCACGGCCGCCAGATCTCCTGGCTTCAAGTCCTTGTTGGGCTCCAGGTTCATGTTGGGCTTGGAGTAAGGAGCTGCAAGTGAGAGGAAAGCCAGCATGAGGCAATGGAGGAGACCAAAGGATCAGGATCTGGAGCAACCCAATGAGACTGGGCAAGGCCCAGGACAGACTCTTCCAGCTGATAAGACCAACCAGTTGAAGCCTCCCCAGCTTTGGTTTATTTACAGCCATGCTTCCAGGTGGCCTCTCAGCTGAGAGCCTCCCCATCATGGCAGGGAGGGGACCGCACTCCCCACTAGCAATATTTTGGGGAGATGCAGCTGGTGGGCCTCTAGCAGACAGCTCAATTCATGGGTAGACCACGGCAAGGGGTGGAGAGAGAAAGAGGCTCCACAGGGGAGTAAAGCATGATGGAGAGCCCTTCTCTTCGGGGAAAACACGCAGGGACAGCCCAACTCTTCACCTCTTACCTGCCACCTGCAACGTCACAGCTGCGCTGCTGTAGTCCCGGACTCGGACAAAGCAGGTGAAGCTGCCCTCATCCGAGATCTCCACACGCCGAAGGAGCAGTGAGACGTTCCCCTGGGCCAGCTGGTCATAGAAGAGGGCCGTACGGTTGGCGTAGCCCCCACCCTGGTCTGCCAGCTGGTCTTGGCCACCAGAGAAGCTGTGGACCAAGCGCTTGGTGTCCGTCAGCTGCCAGATGAGGCTCAGGTCATCGAGGCTGAAGTTGGCCTCGGGGGAGAAGGAGCAGTGTAGGGTAGCATCCCGACCGAAAAGAGCCACCACGGGTTCATCTGGGACCTGGATCTCCATGGCACCTGCAGGAGTGTGGCAAAGGCAAAAACAGGGTGGTGAGACCCTGCAGAAACACCTCCTTAATACACTATCTGGGTAACATCTAAATAAAGATGCCCATGGGAGGAACCTGTGGGCAGGTGGCACCTCAGGACCATCAACAATCCCCAGCTAAGCTCACCCTAACAGCAGGGAGACAGCCCCACATCCAGAGCCAAACCTGAAGCACCACTGCTGCCAACTGCAGTCACGGGCACCCAAACCTGCACCCCCCTAGGACACACAGCCTGGTTTCTCCCCACAGGGAGAGGAGGTCGGTGGGTGATGGCAGGGGAGACAGTCCCATGTCCCCAGGATGAGCCACCTCTGGGCTGGCAGGCGCTAGATGGCACCAGTACTCCAGCGCTATGCCAACCAGCATGCCACGGCAAAATGCCAACCGTGTCCCACTGCCATGGCAAGATGCCAACCGTGTCCCCGAGCCACCGCATGATGCCAACCCTGCCACTGCATCAAGGAGTGATGCCAACCCTGCCAGGGCTGCCAGACCCTCCATGCTCAGAGCTGGTCCTGGGCAACATCCCCCAAAACAGACCCAAGGGCACGATCAGCACTTCATCAATTCCCCTCAAGCCCAAAACAAGGAGGAAAAGGGTAAAAAAATCTTGCCTCAGACCAAGGGAGATAGATTTGGTTTATATTCTGACCTCAACACTGTCACAGAATGCATCAAAGCCGTTACCCACAGCAAATCCCTCTCTGGGGACTTAGGGCAGGAGCGAGAGATTAAATTTTAAGCAAGAGCCTGAGCAGGGAGGATGAGGAGCCGCGGGAAAGAGCCAGGCTCAAGGAGACCTGCCAGGAGCCACAGACAGGCAGGAGGAGAGCACTCAGGCAGCCTGCCTGGCTCTTGGCAGACTTGAGAGTGTCACATCTTCCTACAGCTAATAATAAATGCCAGCGGGTTTAGGGACATTACCCAGCCCGACCATAACCACTGCTGGCTGCTGAGAATCCTGACAGGATTCAGTCCCGACATCTCTCCCAGATTGGAGTGCAGCAACCTGGTGGGGCCAGGAGCTGCAGCACATGGGGACAGACTCAGGGAAGTAAGAAACCTTCAGGATTTGGTCCTCCCGTGGCTTCGCCATTCAGCTGTAGCATGTGGGAGGGGCTGTTCCCTGCTACAAGGGTGGTCCATGTGCACCAGAAGCCATCACACTCACGGGGTGATTCTCCAGGCTGCTGGAGAACCATGAAACCAGGAGAAACACCTTGTGAGGGCTGTCTCCAGGAAGCACAGGTCAAAGGCAGCTTTCTTGGGATGAACGCAGCACCCAGGACATCTCCTTTGGGGTACTGACACACAGACCATGCCAATCCCAAACCTACTCCATCACCGCTCACCTGCCAGGCTGAGCATCAGTGGTCCCAAGGCAAGCAGCGGGCAGAGCATCCTTGGAGCGAGCAAAGCCGTGGTAAGAAAGCAGAAGCGAGCACAGCCCCAGGCGTCCTTCCCACAGGGAGTCTTCTCTCTTGCAACAGGCATGCTGAGCTGGGGAAAAATAGAAGGAAACACTGAAATGGTGCTGGAGACCAGGGGCAGAGAGCAAGAGGAGGCAGGATATCGGCACAGGCAAGGGATCCCGTTGCCACGGACAACCGGAACGCCCATTGTGTCATAAAATACAGGAGGGGGTGTGCCTCCAGCCTGGCAACAGCCAAGGGACCAGTGCATCCCCTACATCGAGTACATGACGGAAGCAGCTCTTGTGCTGAAGGTGTTGGCTGGTGCCCAGGGAAGCCACGTGAACCTCTTCCTCTTCTCACTGCTTCTCCTCCCCTTTTGTTCTCTCCTTCCCAGGAAAAAAAAGTTACATCCCGCTCCTCCAAGAGGAGGCAACTCGCTCCCAGTATCCAAAATAGCTAAAAAAAAGCAAACCTAGGAGGTTTGCAGATTCCTGGCTCCGCCAGCAGCTCAAGGGCTGACGAGGTTCATCCCGCTCGTGGCAGGAAAATCTTCAACATGACATTGCCCCAAAAAACAGGGAAAAAAACCAGAGCATTTTGGAGCTGGATGTGGGGAGAGGTGAGGGCAAGCTGCCCGGAACCTCTGGCTACCGTGGCTCACTTCCCGAGCATCCCTCCCTGGCCGTGCCAAGAGCTCGCCGGGCCCCTCGTGACCTGCATTCCTCCCTCGTAGCATAAATAAGCCCCAGATATCGCAGCCAGCATCAGCACTGCTGTGTCCCACCCCTGGCCCAGCACATCCCAGAACCGCTACGCCCAGAGCTTTTAGCACTGATGGCTTCCAGTGCAAGAGTAGTATTTGCAATAAATCGGTGTCACAGCACCAGCTTCCTGGGGTGCAGCAGGAACAACTTCCGTGGCCAGCACCTTCCCCCTTAAACCTCCTTTAATCAGGGAAATGGCAGCTCTGAAGCTCTGCTCAGCTCAGCTCCCATGGGGGAAACTGAGGCACGGGGAGGGAGGAAACTGAAGCACGCTGGGGGGACATCTCTCCTTCCCTCCCCAGCACAAGCCTTCTTTAGGGAAAGGAAATTATCCATTTTTTTTTCTTAAACCATTTCCTTGACTCTCGCCCTTTCCTAAGCAGATGAGGCCAGAGCCAGCCCTGTGCCAAACCCCAGGCAGCCAGGAAGGGAGGGAGGTGCAGTTGGAGAGGGCAACGGGGCATCGTTCAGCTGCCCGGGGAAGGGAAACCGTGCATCACCTCCCTCACACACCCTTGGAGCTCTTCCCTTTTCCTGGAGATGCTAAAATCAATTATATTGTGTAGGTTTCATGACTTACGAGTCCTGCCACACCATCTCAGAGGTGTCATGGGAAGAGGATACCCATGTCCCCAACCCTCCTTCTGCACTCAGGAGCCTTTCAGTGGATCTCGAGCCTTTCCGTGACTCAGTTTCCCCATCCCTGTGGTCTGAGCCCGGCCGAGTACGGGCTCTGCCCCGAATCTGAGCTTTCAACACAAGTTGTGATGTAACAGACCCCACAAAGACGTCCTGTGGAAGATGGACACCCAGCAAGCCAGGATGGCTGTACCCTCCAGAAACCCAAGGAATAATTAAATCCCATTACAAACCATCCGAAAACCATTAATAACCCGGGCAAGCAGGGAAGAGCCCAGCTCTGTTGCAGCCTATGTGTAGTCCCCACTTAACCCCTGGGTGCGCATCAGAAGCTCCCCGCTTGCATCCCCGCGGGCATGGGGACACGGCAAAGGAGGGCTGGGAAGATGGGGTGCAAGGCGGGGACTTGGGGTGCTGCATTTGGCGGTAGAAAGGGAAGGATGGGTTATCCTTTTGTTCATCCCGGGGAAAAGGGGAACAATCACTTCCTCTCGGAGCTCGGTGTTTTGTCTCACGCGAGGGGCTGGGTGTTTGCTCTGTACCTCAAACGGGGCATTATCAACCGGATGGATTCACGAGCACCTCGGGATGCTGCCTTCCCTGCAGCCGCACGGGAAACGGCGGGGGCAC